TTTTTGAACTACTTACAGTATCAGTATTGTTTCTGAGACTGTAAGAGAAGGGTCATTTATGAAAAGATATTTTGAATACTTGAGAGATTTTTTAGCAAGACATATTGGGGGTTCACATTTTCTTACTTCGGTCAAATTTCATTAATATTATGTCTTTATTGGGTGATTAGTTATATGGTTAGCTCGTATATAACATTGGTTTCATTTTACCACCATTTTCATATGTATATTTTGTCATTCTTTTGAAAATATGTATTTCATTTGGTTTGTTTTAAATATTGATATTTCTTAAAAACATTGAAACTGTTCAATACAATGTTTATTGTTTCACTCTATTAGTTTGTGAGGAATAGTTTGTACAGAAGATAATAAAATATTATTTTATTTTACAAGTAGCCTTATTGTGTTATAGCTTTGAAACATGGACAGTCATAAAGTGTCAGTGGTGCATGTAGCATGATAAATGCTGCTTGTTCTTGATGTCCAGATTCTAGTACCCTATCCTTGTCCTAAATGGGAGGTCGCAAGGACCTCATGCCTGTCTCACAGCGGGGATTCTGGGCACAATAGGTCCCTAGTACCTCATGCCTGTCTCACAGCGGGGATTTGGGGCAAAATAGGTCCCGAGTACCTCATGCTTGTCTCTTGCGGGGATTCTGGGCAGAATAGGTCCCTAGTACCTCATGGCTGTCTTACAGCGGGGATTTGGGGCAGAATAGGTCCCGAGTACCTCATACCTGTCTCTTGCGGGGATTCTGGGCAGAATAGGTCCCTAGTACCTCATGCCTGTCTCACATCGGGGATTCTGGGCAGAATAGGTCCCTAGTACCTCATACCTGTCTCTTGCGGGGATTCCGGGTAGAATAGGTCCCAAGGACTTTTTGCTCGTCTCACTGTGGGGATTCTGGGCAGGAAAGGTCGCCAGTTTTTCTTGCTTTTCCCCCATAAAGGAATTTGTGGCAGAATAGATCCCTTGTTTCCTGTTCATGTTGTGAAAGCAGATGAAAAGGACGAGGACGAGGTGGTTGCAACATGTGACCTGGTTTATATTTGGTAGCATAATGTGGATCAGTTATGCCATCATACATTATCCCCCTGGTTTGAAAACAGGATTTTGCAATGAGCATGTTGTCTGTCCATCCATTTTCTGTTTCCGGAGCAGAACTCATAAACCGTATAAAAAGAAATTCTATGCAATCTACATTTGTGTGTTAGAAGGGTCGGTAATGTTGCTTGACTTGTCGTTTGTCTCCTTGTCCTGATGGCGTGGGTCATTGCTCCTGCTGTCAAGCCTTGTTTGGCGTGGACTTGATCATTTACAGGCTACCACAACAAGCTAAATGGTGCTGACAGTCTCATAAAACAACAATCGCTGTCATTTTAGATTCTAAATGTACGTTTTATTTCTTTCATATTTTATGATCAAATTTATATTTCTTGTTTAACTTTGTTAATTATGTCTTTAGATTTGCACTGCTAAACTCAGGCCAGACTTCTTCCTTGTTTTGGTTTATGGAGTATGTGAGATATTTGATAGGTAGGTAGGTCGAATTTTTTTTATAAGTAAAAAGCATTGTATATGATTTTTGTAATTATCATGGAGTTTGATTTGGATTGGATGCTGATACAATATATTTTTTAAATTTTCGCCTGGTATGGGTCCTTATGAATATTATATATCTAAGATGTGACAGCGGCATCTTTGTCATTTTATTTTTCAAAGAAGACAATTTATGGGTAACAACTTCTTAAATACTGTAAAGGTGACGGTTCGGTATAGATCCTTATACCGCTGTCAAGCAAGACTCAAACGGTATAAGGATATATACCGAAACATCGCCTTTACAGTATTAAAGAAGTTGTTATCCATAAATTGTGTCTACTTTGTCATCCGTCAACTTCTAAGTAATGCCTATCAAACAATTTATTTTTTTTACCGTCGGTGGTGTTATAGATGATTTGTTGTTCTGATTTCTTTTCTCAGAATATTTTATTATTAAGATCAGTAAACCAAGCAACACAAATGAAAGGCCTCATGTGGCAAGCTTTGCACCCGTACTTTCACCGCTTCCGTGGTCTAGTGGTAGAGTATCTGCCCGGAGAGTGGAAGGTCCTGGATTCGATCCCCGGCCTCGTCATACCAAAAGACGTTAAAAGATGGTACTTGTTGTTACCCTGTCTGGCGCTCGGCATTAAGGGGCTAAAACAAGGACTGGTCGGCTCGGAGTCAGTATACTGTGTCTGGGTGGGGTATTCATGTTAAACTGTGGCATGGTATCTCAGTGGACTAGCAGTATTAATCGGCATCAGTCCGGACTAGTACATGCATGTCGCTATAAAAGTGCAATAGTCTTGAACATAATGTTAAACCCAATTTCACCTCACCACCTACACCCATACTTTCACCATTTGAAAGCTATGGCATTATGTAACTAAAATACACTCTTCAAGGTATCTGGAATCTTTTAAACAAACTGATGTGACCTTTTACTGCTTCTTGTTAAGACAGGGGCACTCTGTGTAATCTGTGTTGTGAGACCAACCATTGATCTGAATGAATATTCTTAGTTTGATAAGAACCGTTTTTCCACTAGAAAATTCGGATCACATGGGTGTTCTTCATATTAACATATGGTAAGTTCATCGAGGGTTATTTGAATGGGGTAGATGAACCTTATTTGATACAAACTACATCCTAAGTGCTGATGGCATCTCCTGAAAATCCCTTATTTGTGTCGGGTGTTTTAGATTTTTGCATGTTTCCATAGATGGCCCAGTATCTAACACACTGGTATTTTCTTAGTATAGTTGCGTTCCTCATGCATGCAAGAGTCCTATGGTTTAGGTTTAAATCCCAGAACCTCTCTGATTATGATCGTTCACTTGTACCTGTGGGTTTCACCGAAGTTGTCAACATTATGGACCTGGGCCCCGTTCCACAAATCAATCTCAGTGTCTTGTCCGTGTTAAAGTATGGGAGTAACAATTGTCTTAGCAGGAAGATTGCTTTGGGGAACAGGGTCCTAGATCACTTCTGGCTATCCTCCCATGTTAAGCTGACACGTTGTGATATAACTGAAATACTGTTCAAAGCTGCATGAAACCCAACTCACGGGGGCACGGGTGGCCCAGTCGTCTTAGGCGCCGCGATTCGCTGTGCAGAGTTGCGTCCCTTGGACACGCCAGAAACCTATGATTGTGGGTTCGAATCCAGGTTCCCCCCAATTATGTTTCTAGGTTTGTCAGCACCATACCCGTGGTCGTGGGTTTCACCGAAGTGATAAACGTCTGAGACATGCATCACTTCTGGCTTTCCTCCCACATTAAGCTGACACGCCGTGATATAACTTGAATACTGTTAAAAGCGGCGTTAAACCCAACTCACTCACTCACTCACCCAACTCACACTCCAAGACATGACTTTCCTTTAGAGAAGGCCAATTCTCCATCCCCTTGGCCATGTTACTATACTGAACAAAAAAAGTTCAGGATCATTAATATTTTGGAGGACATCTTTTTGTTGTGAAGACTGAGCACGCAATTTCTAATATATATCCTCAAAAATATTCATGATCACTATCTGTTTTTGTTCAGTATGTATAATTTACATGCTTACATCCATGCAACTAAACGTTGCTGTGAGAAACTTTTGAAGGTGATTTGGCATGAAAATTGTTTCTCGGGCAGATTTTTAATAATAAAAATCAATAGTGAGAGAGGAGGGCAGACTTTTTGTATTTTGAAGACAAAATTGATGAGGGAGGAACATTTTCTTGATTTCTCTCCAAGAATATCAACACACACAACTGGGTACACACTAAACTCGTCTCTTTCAAACAAACAGAAAACATTTGTGTTCATTTTATGAAGTCTACTTCAGACGATGTGGGAAGTTTCAGACACAGGAATAAAAGAGATGCGCAAATGCCCGAGAAACATTTCCTTTTCTGTTTTAGCCTGTTTACCTTACTGGAACAGGCCTTTTTCGAAATATTTATAACTATTTAATTGGCTTAAAGAGTTGATGTTGTTGGTAATTCTGTAATTTCCAAGAATAAAGCTACTGACATGTTTTCATAGTTGATAAAGGATATTTTCAATTGAACAAAGCATTGTGACTATGTCTTTGCTTTCTGATATTTCAAGGTTGTCTCATGCAAGAAATAAATTGGAATGGTTTGGCATAATTATCCCCTGCCATGAAGTGGGATGGGGGATATCAGAACGGAGTTCGTTCGTCAATCCGTCCATCCGTTTCTCAAAGGGGAAAATTTTCTTAAAAACTATTTAGATTAGAGACATGATATTTTACAGACTGATATTACTGGTCATGATCTTAAATGAGTTTGAAAATTGGCATCTTAAATTCATTTTTTACAGAGTTACGGTCCATCCTCCTTGCTTTTCAACTTATAGTGTGTGCAATTTTGATAGTATATTTTGTGTATTTTTCACCAGTATAATAACAATACATCTTTGATATCCTTGTCTACTTTTAAAAATTTTATGACACTTTTCACATCTTCTGAAATTTCATTTGATTTAGCAAAATTACAAAAAAAGCTTGGGAGTCTTTCGATTTTGTTCAAAAGGACCTTAAAGCAACCAGTCAGAGGTCTTCCAGTGTATCATGGTTACATCTCAACTTCTCAAAGGATATACTGAGATATAAATTTGAAAATATTTCAGTTCATTTACATTCCACCTTCTCCAAGCTATCGGTCACGCTCAGCCCCACTCAGAATATCCACATCAAAATTTGAGTATTTGAGTAATTTAATTAAAGATAATTTAAGTAACTAGTGATCTGCTAAAATAATTCCACAGAGAATAGTTCCAGAATAGGATGACAACAGAACTTTGTTGTAGTGCCTTCAGTGATGTTGGAAAATGGAAGAAAATGGACTTGACTTGTCGCACCGGTTTGATTGTTGCCTTGTTTAGTTCATGGGAGCTATCTGATATATCTGCCCAGTTTAACAAGGATTTGGTTTGTGTAGGATTTACAGGATGTTCGTCCCGATATGGTGGAGAACCAGGGTCAGATCTTCAAACCTGATTTCAACAACCAGGACTTGGACAACAACAAGCTCCAGATAAACGCTCAGGACAACCAGCAGGGCCTTAACAATGACCATGACAACAGGATACAGAACGAGGGGCCAGTTAATCTCCAGGTAGGTGGTGGGGAAGTAGTATCAGCTGTAAAGATACTCCAGAACAACTGCAAAGGCCTGCATTTGCCATAGTCAACAATATTCCAGCTGTATAACCGCAGCCAGTAAGAAGTCAGAAAAAGACAATACAGTAATTGCTATTATGTTGGATTTCCCATACCGTACCAATAAAAAACGCAGTCCAACCACCCAATCCAATCAGTTGCTTTACTGGGATTGCTGTGAAAAGGCTGCATTATGGAGAACAAATAGAGAGATATGATTTCAATCAGCTTCGGGTAAAACATACATGGATACAGGAACCCTCTGATATGTTTAAAGACGTTTTCTATGTTGGATGTAAATATCAGGTAAAATAGATATATTTTCAGTCATTTGTAGATTCTCACCCTCGTGTCGTTTGATTTGAAACTCATCAACAATCCAGATGAGTGTTATTTCAAATCAGAAGACACCAGGAAGATATTCTACTTATCATCCAAATCATTCTTCCAACTTTTTCAATCACTTTTTCTGACATGCCATGACATAAACATATACTGTTCAAATCTGTATTAGGGGCGGTCGGGTAGCCTAGTGGTTAAAGTGTTCGCTCGTCACGCTGAAGACCAGGGTTCGATTCCCGACATGGCCACAATGTGTGAAGCCCATTTCTGGTGTCCTCCACCATGATATTGCTGGAATGTTGCTAAAAGCGGTGTAAAACCATACTCACTCACTCACTCAAATCTGTATTAAACATAACTCACTCACTTGCTCAATTAAAGGAGCCCTAATTTCAACTTCACCTGTGTTAAGAACTTAAGTGCAGGTCTCGTATTATTCTTATCCTGTGTTGTTGCCAGGTTCAAGAGCCGCTGCTTCCTAACCGAAACTTTGATGAGGACAAACACATCCCACAGCAGCAACTGGCCCCAGGGAATGACCTTGACCAGGCTGAGAAAGAGGCTGCTCCTCTCCAGCCTCAAGGTCACGGGCAAATGATGATCCCAAACTTTGGTCTGGGAAAGAACATGGGCAAGGTATTTATGGTATATCGTTTTTGTTTTTTCAAACTTTTCTTTCTTGAAGTGATACAGGATATTCCATATTCAATCTATCTATATACATCTTTATATATGCATTGAAAGATAGATTTATAATTCACCTTGCTAGGGGGTCCCTGCTTTACTCACATCAATCTGTCATGCCATGATATCACTGAAATTGTGTTCAAGCAGTCTAAGGCAGCTCGACTACACTTAGGCTTAAGAGAAGTGTCCAATTAAATGGTTTGATTAAGCATGGTGGCCCAGTGGTCTAGTTCATTGCCAAGATCCACTCGTCAAGGGTTTGAATCCAAGAAATGATGAGCTATCCTTGTCGTTTCAGGATGGCGATGGTGTGCAGGTGGAAGGAGAAGGTGGGTGAAAATGTTGCTGTAGTTGTAGTCGCTGCTTCTGCCAATCATGGTAGCTTATGTCATACCGTGTAAGCGTGTACAGTATCCTTATTATCCTGCCTTTATTGTCACCATAAGTTATGGTCTTCGTGTCGGGCCAAATAGTGTTTTGTCTTTTTTTGTTTGAGCCAATTTAATGCTATGGTATGATTAATATGTTATTCTTTATATTTTTTTCAAAAGAATGAAATATAGATTGCAAGTCAATGGTTTCTAGTTACTGAGATGTCATGCCTATTTAGTGAGAGTAGAGTTATCTTCCCTTGTGAGAACTGACAGAAAATTACCCATGCCATCGCCCATGGCCTGATGAGCAGCAAATGACCTAAATGTGCGTTCACTCTCAATGAGCGTTAAAGAAGATACAGATTAGGTTTTCATTTTCAGTTTGGTTTCTTTTATTCATCACCTGAAACAGCATTCATTAACATTAAAGTTGAGGGGTTTATTAAATGGAATGACACGATTTCCCAATACAGCACTGTTTAATGATGAGTATCTAGCCTCAGCAGGACTTGTAGAGGTGGGGGAGGAATCAAGAATAGATGCAGCAAATGTGAGGAAAATTTATTTGAATTGTGTGAAATATGAACTGTTTTTGTTCACATAGAATGAACAGTCTGCAGGAATTGCAGCAGTTGTCATGATTGTTGCACTTATTGAAGGTCCATCCTTTCATGTTAAAAATGGGGGCACGGGTGGCCCAGTCGTCTAAGGCGCCGCATTTCGCTGTGCAGAGTTGCGTCCCTTAGGCACGCCAGAAATCTATGATTGTGGGTTCGAATCCCCGTTCGCCCTGATATTGTTTCTAGGTTTGTCAGCACCATACCCTTGCTTGTGGGTTTCATTGAAGTGGTAAACGTCTGAGACCTGCATCACTTCGGGCTTTCCTCCCACATTAAGCTGACACGTCGTGATATGACTGGAATACTGTTAAAAGCGGCGTTAAACCTAACTCACTCACTCACTCATGTTAAAAAACACTCATAATTATCAGCTCAAAGAACTATAGGCTGAAGTTAATCAGTGTGACCCATGTGCCCCTGTCATCTTTGTACTTAATGCATCTGCTGCATGTGACAATAGTCTGGTTCTGGTGTCGCCCGCCATGATATTGCTGAAATATTGCCAAAAGCGGGATAAAACCATACACATTCCCTCAGTAGTGTGAGAGGGGCGGTTGGGTAGCCTTGTGGTTGAAGCGTTTTCTCATTGCGCCAAAGGCCCAGGTTTGATTTTCCACAAGTGTACAATGTGTGAAGCCCATTTGTGGTGTCTCTCGCCATGATATTGCTGGAATATTGCATAAAACCATACTCAATCACTCAATAGTGTCACGTATGTTTTGTCAGCCAACAGCTAATTAAGTTGGTGTTTGTGGTCCGAATGTGTACAGCTTTGCAATCAATAACCAACCAGACTATCATGTGGCTTGTGGATCTGCCATACTGCATAAAAACCATACTCAGTCAGTCACTATGATTCATGGAATGCAAGTGTCCGACCTGCACATTAAACATGAATCTCCAGAACTACTGAGTCAGTGTGAACAGGGCCTTAATTCTTACCAATCTCTTGAGGTTACATTGACCCCATGGTGTAATGCACCACGACCCACCCAGCTGCCAGGATCTGATAGGCATGGGTTTGAATCCAACATTTACCCTTGGTGTGTCAGCACCAAGATGCTTGTGAGCTGCCCTCCAATGTTACAACCTCCCCACCATGAAAAGATACGACTTGGCATTAATCCCTTGACAGTGGTTGGAAGTAATAGTGATACAAGGGCCTTGGAGGTGTTTCTTAATAGATCCTCAGGAACCGGTCATTTATTATAGGTGGGCTGGGTCAGAGGGAATCAGGGGAGGGTCAACAAAAACTATGACAAGCATAAAAAGTAATACACATTTGGGGAGGGTCTATGATACAATATTTTTGCTTTTGCATTGTCTTTTCAGGCAGGTTATCAGGATGAAGGGAGGGTCATCTAAAAATAAGACAAGCATCAGGGGAGGATCTATGTTTTCAGTACATTAGTCCATCAGAAACGTCTGAAATACACACACCCTCACATCCAACCAACCCCTGTAATAAATGGCCGGTCCAAAAATCTTTCATTTTGATCATGAGGATGATTACAAGGACTCCTCAACATCCATGCTTCACAAGTGTACTGCAATCATGTTGCAAGAGATAATGTGTATAACTGTATGTGATATAGATAAGGTATTCCCGGTGGTCCTTTGGAACTATCTAGACCTGTGCTTCTCTCCTTTGTAAAAATGCTTCAGAACGTTTTTGCTTGAGCTTCTCCAGGCACCTGTTTTAACAAGAGTGTTTGGACCAAGTTTAATCAAACTTGCAAGCATTGGGTGAAGACATACTGTTGCTGTCATGTTAAGAATATGCATCCACGTACTTCCCTTTTCAAGATGACCTGCAAGAGAATAAAACACACAGTCCCTGTAGTCATAATCAGTTTCAATGAGAAATATGTCTATTTATGTTTGAGTCTTACTTTATCAGTTGGATCAGTGGACTCACAATGCTATGGGAACACTGACATGGGTGTGCTAAATGTCTTCAGTACTGAACTCTGTTGGCTGTGTGCTACTGGTACATGGGCTTTGTGTGTGAATCATGTGTGTAACTCAGTGTGTATGGCTACATTGTCTCAGGGCAGGTCTATGGTGTGTTACGGTTACAATTTGTAAGAGAGTGTGTGTCTGTATTGTCAGGCCAGTTAGCCTACAATGTATCAGTGTGTCTTGTGCCAGGGCTGCAAGTGTGTATGGCTGTATTATATCAGGGCTATATGGTTATATTGTGGTAGGGCAGGGCTAAGATAGGACATTGTGTATGGCTGTGCTTTGTCAAGCTACAATGTTTAAGCGTGTTTGCTGTATTGTGTTGGCACAATGTATCAATATAACTATATTGCATCAGTGCTGCAATGTATCATTATGTATGGCAATAATGTTTCAGTGCTATCATATGTCAGTATTTGTGGCTTTGATGTGTAAGAATGATTGACTGTATTGTGTCATGGCTGCTGTATGTGTATGTATGACTGCAATCTCATTAAAATCAGATCTTAGTTCTCGCTGGGTGCTGAACAAAGATCTGAGGACATCCCATTACGGGTCACGTCAGAACGACCTTTCGCGAACCTTGACCAGTCACTGAAATGACTAACAAGAAGTCGACATCAGCCAATTAGAAAGCAGCTTGGTCGAGCTTTACGGTATTTGTTTCAACCTGACGACTTCCATTTTGACTACGCTTGAAAAATATGTTGACACAGTTCTTTTGAAAACTGAACAAACGGACATTCCGCATGTCTAATATATGGTTGCGATTGTATAGCAGTGCTTCCTACTTACTGTGCAACGCCTCCTCTGTTCAAATGTTTATCCCATGAAAGCGAGAGATAGACGATAATTTTGACAGAATCAGTCATAAGGGCCGTAACTGTCGTTCAGAATAACCCGTTTTAACGTTTTCGAGATTGCATGATTAGAAAACACATTCCGACTGTCACTTTCATGATCTAGTAAGCAACGCTTTGATTGACCCGTAATGGGATGTCCTCAGATCTTTGTTTATCGGCAGAGACAACTAAGATCTGATTTTAAGGAGATTGGTATGACTATATTATGTATTATTTTTTGTTTTAAACCGCACTCAGCAATATTCTAGCTACATGACGGCGGTCGGTAAATAATTGAGGATGGACCAGACAATCTAAAGACTCCATGTGTATGATGTGAGATGAAGGTATGGGTTGAAAGTATGACATCACAGAAGGTATGGATGTTCCTTATTCAACTGCTGTGTGTTCTGGTACTAACCAGGTGTGGGGGTGTTATTTCAGAGGAGGAGGAGGAGGAAGATGAGGAACAATATAATGATGACAATGTAGATAAGTATGAGTTGGATGACACGGCAGACAAGGACACACAGCAGGAGCAACTGGACGTCTGATGTCAGTCGTCTCCCTGCAACAGGTGCTCCCACGCTCACAAGGGACACTCTCTCTAGTCTTGCTCTCTCTCTTGTGCATACTCACACTGTCTCAAAAGATTTTTTGATATTTGTGTTACCTTGTGTCTGATTTATTTTGTGTTGTAAATGATGAGCTTAGGTCTTGATTAAGGTCTTGTCTGATGTATGTTTGGGAAATTCAGTTAGTTTGATTTCAACTGTGTAGTATCCTTTTGAAAATACAGAATTTATATATCATTTGCAGTTCCCATCCATCTGAAAAAGATAAAAAAAACTTTAGATATTTATGAGTATATTTACCAGTGGATATATTCTTAGTTGATCGTAAGAATCTTAAAAAATAGTACATATTTAATACAAAAAACTTTTAACCCCGGGAATGTCGGAATTTAGAACAGCTGCGCATTTCAGTGATACTAAATGATACTTACATCATTTACATGAACATTCTACATTGATCAGGTCCAGTCATTCTTAGATTCAGGATCTGGATCAGAATTAAGTCTGTTAATATATTAATAATATATCATCTTAAGTCATCAGAGGTAACATGGAATTCATGAAGAGAGTGGGTGTCCCAGGTGCAGAGTTACGTCCCTTCATGTGCCAGTATCCTATTCATCCTGGTTAAGGTCCTTGGTCTGTCGGCACTGTACTCAGGCTTGTGTGTTTCAAGTGACCTGTGCTACGTTGAGCTTTCCTCCCACATGAAGATAACTGAACTAAACGCCCATAAAGACTCAACCAAAATACATTCAAAGATGTTTTAAACCTAACTCAATTTAGTGGTAACTAATCTCATTCGTGTATTGTCATCTAAACATCAGACAAGTCTTAATGAAAACTACTTTTCATTGAAATAGATAAATCAAACACCTTGCAGTGCACATCTTTTTTCCAAAAATGTCACATCTTTTGCTGAGTGCACAAGAAGCAGTGAGCAGGACAAGAAAGAGAGTGACTTCCTGTTCTCTGACGCATGTTGTAAACATATTGTGCTCTCGCCATGTCTTACTGTTGTCTTGCAAATAACAGCGTCTCTCTGAGTACTTAACATCTCTACTAACACTGACTAGTTTGTGCTGCTGGGAGCTCCCAACTGTGTAACGGCCATTACTCAAGGGACTGTCTCAACAGTTCAGTCAACTGCAAGATTAAGCAGAATTAAATGCATTTTTACCACCCACCTCATAAATGTGGTGAATAGCGAGATAGTCATTCACTGTTTAAGAACTATACAGTTCACCATTTTGACAGAAATATAACTGTACATTTCATCACAAAGAGCTCCTTTACTTGTATCCACAGTTTGGCCTCATTGTCATTCATAAACATTTCATATTTAATTTTAGTATTTAACTGGTTTTGCTGCAAACCCAAGATGTGTAGTATCACATTATTGTCTAAGCATATACTGTCACCGTGATATATATTCAAGGAACTTAGAAATGGTTATGTTAATCAAGAAACCTCATTCAATAGGGAAGTGCTGGGATAACATTAAAGTATTATTTAAAGACCTAAACAAATAAGATTCACAGTAAAAGAGACTCATTCATTAATGAATATATGTCTGGCTGTTGACTGTGGACTTTTGGGACGATCCCCATGTATAACTTGGTTAAGCTTTTGGACCATAGTGTTGTGAGTTATTTGTGCTGTCCATAATTATTTTTTGAGTTCATATGTTTTTATTGTAGATGCTGCTAGGCATGTATGTTGTGTTTCGTCGCAATTCACGGATCATTTACAAACCATAATTCATTGGTTTAAATAGCCTGATGAATCTGATAAGATTTCAAGGTGTTGATGTACTTTTGATTGGTTGGTTGGTTTGTTGTTTAACGCCGCACTCAGCAATATTCCAGCTAAATGACGGCGGTCTGTAAATAATCGAATCTGGACCAGACAATCCAGTGATTAATATCATGAACATCGATCCACGCAATTGGGATCGATGACCTTGCATCAACCAAGTCAGCGAGCCTGACCACCCGATCCCGTTAGTCGCCTTTTACGACAAGCATAGTCGCCTTTTACGGCAAGCATTCTACCCCGGATCTTCGCGGTTCTGATGTACTTTTGAAGCCTTCAAGCAATATCAAATCGCCACTTCAGCTGTTTTCATTGGCAAAATGGACTCGTGAAGATCCGGTGTAGAACAGGTCTTCAGCAACCCATGCTTGCCGTAAAAGGCGACAATGCTTGTCGTAAGAGGTGACTAATGGGATCGGGTGGTCAGGCTCGCTGACTTGTTTGATGCATGTCATCGGGTCCGCATTACGTGGATCTATGCTCATGATGACAATCACTGGATTGTCTGGTCCAGATTCGATTATTTACAGACCGCCATCATATAGCTGGAATATTGCTGAGTGCGGCGTTAAACAACAAACAAACAAACAAACATTGGCAAAATGAGCATTGGTGTACCTGCAGTTAGCAGAACAGTTGTTTTCCCTAGCTCACAGGATCCACGAGGTGTTGGTTCAAATCCTAGATTTGCTTCAGTTTTCATCTTTGAGGTAAAACACCTGTGTCACTTTGAGCAGAAGTCCCACATTAAGCAAACCTGCAGTGATACAACTGAAATACCCTCAAGAGGGATGTTCTATGCACCACTTAAGGCGGTCTTGTCATAGGGGTCACGGGTGGCCCAGTCGTCAAAGGCGCTGCAATTCTCTGTGCAGAGTTACGTCCCTTGTGCACACCAACCACCTATGATAGTGGGTTTGAATCCCAGTTAGCCTGATTATGTTTCTAGCTTTGTCAGCACCATATCTGTGCTCGTGGGTTTCACCGAAGTGGTAAACGTCTTAGACCTGCATCACTTCGGACTTTCATCCCACATTAAGCTGGCACGCTGTGATATAACTGGAATAATGTTAAAAGCATCGTAAAACCAAACTCAAACACACACACGGTCTTGTCATACCCTGTCACCATACCAAGTCAGGGGGCACAGTTGGCCAAGTCTCTAAGGCACTGCATTCCTTGCTCATCTGTTTCTAGGTTTGTCAGCACCATACACAAGCTCATGGGTTTCACCAAGGCAGCAGTTGCCAAAGAGTCTTAGGCTAAGACCTTCATCACTTGTATTTTTCTGACAAACCGTGATATTACTAAAAGCAGGGTTTTGCAAAACTCACTCATTCACTCCCTGTCATCATATCATACCCGAGAAGTATGTTAAGTCTTTACATGCCCATGTGATGTAGCCATTATATACTTCAACTTTGACCTTATGGATAAAGCATTTTCTCATCATGCCTAAGGGGCGGTCGGGTAGCCTAGTGGCTCATCACGCTGACGACCTGGGTTAGATTCCCGACATGGGTACAATGTGTGAAGCCCATTTCCGGTGTCCCCCGCCGTGATATTGCTGGAATATTGCTAAAAGCGGCGTAAAACCATACTCACTCACTCACTCATCATGCCTAAGATCTAGAGTCAGTTCCCCTGATGGTTACAGAACAGTGTGTGGAACCTATTTGTGGTGCACTCTTTCATGACTTGGCTAGAATGTAGTTGAAAACATCACAGAATTAACCCAACACACTGATACATGAAAGTTATCCCAAGCACCAGTTCCACTGATGAACAATAGATACCAAGAGGAGACATGACATGTTTTTGTCAACATGTTTTCTACCATTAAATTCATCTATACCAGATCCAAGGAAGACATGAAATATGGTTACTTTCTGTGTGAAATGGAAAACGCCAGTCCTGTGAAGTCATACCACAATAAAGCATGGGTTGCCTGGTGGTCTGAGGGTGTGCAGAGAGCAGAGTTGCTTCCCTCAGTTAGCTGCCTAGATTTATGATGTATGATGGTCATTTGGTTTGTCAACACCAACCATGCTTGTGGGTTTCTAAGAACTGCATCCGTTTTGGCTTCATCATACACCTAAATGCTTTGATTGGACCAACATCCTTTCCAAAGTATGCTGGGGGCACGGGTGGCCCAGTTGTCTAAGGCGCTGCGATTCGCTGTGCAGAATTGCGTCCCTTGGCCACGCCAGAAACCTATGATTGTGGGTTCGAATCCCGGTTCGCTCCGATTATGTTTCTAGGTTTGTCAGCACCATACCCGTGCTCGTGGCTTTTGCCGAAGTGGTAAACGTCTGAGACCTGCATCACTTCGGGCTTTCCTCCCACATTAAGCTGACACGACGCGATATAACTGGAATAGTGTTAAAAGCGCCGTTAAACCCAACTCACTCACTCCTCCAAAGTATGCTCAACCAAACCCATGATAAAACAATGAAACCCAAACCCACCATCAACTTGGTGCAGTGCTGCAAGCTAAGATGCATGTCATGTGACTTCACTCTTCTTGTGGAAGAAGACCTCTTAACTCGGGTGCATTGTGTTAATAAAGAAATTGTTTTAATCATTCCAAAATGACCTTCTTAGCACAGAGAAATACACCTATGACAAGACAGACAATGATCTATTTCTCACACGTGGGGGACCAGTTCAAAGGATTGATGTCGGATAAAACGTTTTCGGGTTAATGGCGCTGCAAGTTTTCAATCCAATAAAATCAACTCACCTGATTTGTAGAGAAAGTAATTGTTTCCTCTGATCCTATTTTTGTCACGAGATTGTTATCAGAATTTGTTCTCTCCAGCATATGTTTGTCATTCTTCATGACAGTGTGTTTTGGAGTATTACAAGGAATTCAACATTTTCAAAATTAACATTTTTAGAGGGTTGGGGTTATTTATCAAAACATAAGGAAATAACTTTTTTAGCCTACATTGAACTTTTGAAATGGTCCCAAGCTCTGTGTAGATTCCAGTTTGGAATAAGCATAAGTCCAAAGCAACACTATTGTCATAAGAGGCTGACAGTCTTGACTCGGTGACAAAAGGGGTTGTAAATTGTCATATCATCCCCGTTGGATATCGCTAATAATATTAGGCACAGGTCTCTTTCGCTCAACTTACCCATGGGATTCTGTGGATATAAATACCCATCTTTCTCGCAGCATTTTACCAAGGAAGCATTGAACTTCATTATACACAAAGGAACAGAAAGTGGTATTTTAATGACATATATTTAACTTTGGGATATATATAGCATCAATGTATTTATTGCATGTGCAGCCCTGGAGACAATATACTCTGTCGATATATCTTCATTTATCACCTGCATTTTTTCTTCGTCGACTGGATCAATGTTATTTCCTTTTTAACTGAGGACAATATTAAAATGAAATTAAGCTTTTAGGACTGATGGATTTTTGATATTCTGAGCAAAAAGCTTTTGTCAACAAATAACAAAATCCATAGCTTTTCTGCTCTGTCTAAGGTTCCCTGAGTTTGTTATCAAACAAATAATAATTATTTTATTTTTTAAACAATCACATAATGCAGAAAACAGTTGGGAAGAGTCTTGATCCAGTCTACCGCAAGATAAAACGCAGCAATGCCTACCTTGTAATCATTGTCACTTGCTGCAGTTTAGTTCCGTGTCACTGTTTGTTAGTTGTTAGGAACATGTTAAGTTTATAGAATTAGATGTTTTGATTGGTTTGAGATTTAGTTGTGATAGATGAGAACATATGATGTTGCTGTGTGTTTGTGAATCGTACATACTCACAACTGATCATGCACCCGACCCCTGTACCCTATTGACTGGTATTTACTCTTGTGCCAAGTACACCGTCTACACCAGCTTTCACATTTAACACATTGGTTTTAATTTGATTTGTGTCAAAGTAGTGTCAGTATGTATTTTTTTATAGTTCTTTTTTTCTAATATGATTGCTGTTTAAAGTTTTATAAATAGTGTATAAATGTGTATTTTTTATATGTAAAAATATTATTTTTTTGGTGTAGATAGCATTTTGAGTATTGTAAGTATATGTTGTTTTTTATCATTTAAAAACAATTGGATTTCTGTTGAAAGTTTTATAAATTGTGTAAATATGTACCTCCTTTATAGTATTTTTCACTTAGAATTTATCTTTTTATTTATTTGGGGGATTTCATGACCTCTTGCTTGTTGTAACAACCAACTAAAACAGGGATCTGTGGTCAGATTCTGTGACTGATAACATGACATTGTACCATGTTGGTGTGGCGCTCAGTGCTTTTCTTTAATGACAAGGGGCGCAGTCGGGTAGCCTTGTGGTTAAAGCGTTGGCTCGTCACGCTGAGGACCCGGGTTCGATTCCCGACATGGGTACAATGTGTGAAGCCCATTTCTTGTGTCCCCCACCGTGATATTGCTGGAATATTGCTTAAAGCAGCGTAAAACCATACTCACTCACTCACTCACTTTCATGACAAGTTGTCCTGGTCCTGACTCGATTATTGGCAGTGATATGGCTGGAATATTGCTGACTGCAGTGTAAACACTCTTAGTAGCATTTGCTCTTCCTCTGGTAAAGCAAAGAAATAAAAAATAAATATCTTTACATTAACAACTGTCTCAAATACACCAGTCACAGTTCTGGCAGATTTTAGCGTGCTACTTTGTCCTAATTTTGTCACGATCTTCTTAGCAAAATTATAATTTCACAATTTCAAATTTGATTTTCAGGAAGAAGAAAAGAGGCTCCAATGCCCCACGCCGATATGTAAATCCATTGGCAGCCTTGTGGAATCTGTTGACAGACATATTGGATTTGGAGGCGGACATTTTGGTCTTGGAGGCGGACATTTTGGTCTTGGAGGCGGACATTTTGGTCTTGGAGGCAGCCATTTTAGATATGCTGGTAGATATCGTGGATGTTTGTTGGCCATTTCATAGCTGGGGAGATGTGGTGGCGTGTTGACAGAGGTTGATTCCATTTTCTCAGGTTGTTTTGAAGAGATTTGTTACATTACTGACTTGTACGCTGCCACGTTTAGAAGATCTGTCAACACCTATGAGTGTGCATTGTTGATGTACAAATGCCCATGTTAATATGCACTGTATTATCTCAGTGGGAAAATGGTTTATCATGTTGGAAGCTTTGACCAAAAGCATATTGGGAATTAATAGACCCATATGAGTATCTAATTGTGATTAACTGTTTGGGAAATAGTTTTTTGTGGGATTGGTGTTTCAGGTGATAATAGATGATTAAGATAAAATGGTGGGTTTTGTTGCTGGAGTATGTAGTCAACCTTTTGTAAGATATGTTTTGATGTACACAATGTGGTGAAAGTAACATTCTCTGAGGCTTTTATCAATTTAGTTACCATGGTTACAACTTATTTTCCCAAACCGTCCAATCATTAGTTCAGAAAATAAGTACAGATGTAATGCTGCCTTTCTGTTTTCTTAACATGATTAAAATATGTTAGTAGGGGTGAAGTGAATCAATTGGTTAACAGACCTCTTGTTAAAATAAAACTCTTTGCCTTTCAAGATAATTAATCATTGTTAATGAATCTCAGAACTTGGAATGAATTATGAGGTATGTGACAATTGTGTAAATATACTTACATCCAGGAAATAATACTTATCTAATTGGTCACAGATGTTTGACATTCCTTTGACATTAATTGTACGTTGGTAAAAGCTGAAGTGTCAAATATATTTGCATTTCCAGAACGATTCATTTATATTAGTTTGTTCCAAGTTTGGAAACATCATTAATGTGAAACATGTGAGGAGGTATCCAATTGTAAGAGGATTAATAAGCGAGTCTTTCATCTCATACATGTTGCCAATTGTTATATATCTTTTTGAGACAAATGACATCAATGTGATGCATGCAAATCTGTACACTACTTAATTCATCAACGTGCTTGGTTCTTGTCAGTGTATTGCTTCGGTATATGCTGATCATTATCAGTTAATATAACCAACTATTTCACTTTTTGCACCTGGAATCGTGGAAGACAAACTGGGTACCAGCCAATTATTACTGGGCGGATGGGTCTTCAGTACAAAAATGTATTGATATCTCCAATATATTGTCTTTTTTTCTGAACCTTCCTGAAATTCTAGTTTCTTTTTCCTGTTCCTCTCTAAAAGTTCAATGGTCTGTCTGTCTTACTTCAGAGTTTGTGAGTGAACAAAGAACAATGAAGAAGCTCAGTAAAGAAATAACTGTCCATTTTATTGTGAAAACAATTCAATTTTATTTTGATGACCTTCATCTTACAGAGACCTTACAGAATAAATTAAAAAATTAATCCAGGTGAGGTCTTGAATGATTTGGCAAGTCTAGATTTCTTCAGCTTTGAAATTATACTTTGTTCTGGGATTTTATTTTGTAATTTGTTGATATATAAGTTTAAATAACTTTATTTCTAGAACTAAGGTTTTTTGTTCATTTGACATCAAGGTCTTGAATTTTTATCAGTAATCTTTGGGAAACGGAAACATTTGTCTGTGTAATTAAGGTACACCTGGTGTCGTCACTGAATTTCAGCGAAACAATTATATAAGTTTCACCTCTATTTTGTCTGTTATGCCCAGTGGCATCTGTTTTGGTGGATATTCTCTGTTTTTTAGTGCCCCTCCTCTGCCGGGTGCAAAAACGTGAAATGGTAACATTACAGGTCACCAGTTAATAATTCTGACTTTTATCTATGTGTTCAAATAAAACCATGTCAACTGCATATGTGAGGACTAATGCTTGTCATTAATCAGAATAACTTTGCACCACATGGCGTACATAAACACAGGATGACTGAGATATTTGCTGTAATTTATTTGTTTTGGAGTATTTGACAAGCACCCTGAAGCACTTTTGTACAGATTTTACATGAGCACCTGAGGTCCTTTTGGAAAATTGATTTTTCTATCGTACATCAGCATGATTTGGATGATCGTCATGAATTTCTGTTAACCTCAGTCATATATTCATTTCTTCTACAGACAGACTTATGAAGTGGAAATACTTTGAAATAACATTGTTATTCGATATGTACCGTATTCAACGTTACAAGCGCCCAGGGCGATCTCAAAATTAGAAATAGGGGGCGCTTATTAGAATATTATTTTGAGTTGAAAGATCGTAAATTTCGTGGTTTAAGCTAACAGCCTGAAATGTTTACATACGACAGATATATCTTTCAAGAATTTAATTACCCATAATTAAGGGTGATATAACACACAAGTGCGTATTATACACGAATAAATAAGTATTGTGTACATTGATCAATCAGAAGGGGTGCTGATTGGGATTGTTCACTAGCCAATACATTAGCAAATATCGCCGTGGGCGCTTATTAGAGCGGGGCGCTTATTACGTCGAATACGGTAATTATAAAATTCCTCTCCTCTCTCAATCTAAAAATTCTTTCCATGTTTTCTGTGATCAGTGCTTGAGACCTGCATCAGTTTTGGGCTTTACTCTCATACTAAGCTGACAGCTGAAAAGTGGAATACTGTTCAAAGAAGCTAATCTCTGTTTTGCCTCATGCTTGTCTGTTCTCAAATCATTATTAATAGATTATTACTCAGGCTAACAATCAAAATAATATTTGTTTTATCTTATTTTTAAAAGTACATGTATATAATAGGTTTTCATGTCAGTTTGCAGTTATGTAGTAAATTAGACATTTATTTTTCCTGTTTCAAATATAAAAACTTGTTCTTTCATGAGCGTCTTAAGCACTGGATACTGCTGATAATGTAGCTTGAGATGTTGTTCATCACGTACTACTTTCATTGGGCTCTTGTTATTGTACTTGTATACCAAAAGCAATGGTAGAAATCAATCAAAAATGTTTACAATTGATACTGGCATGTACAGTCCAACCAAGAACACCTGATCAAAGTGAGATGTTATAATAGCACTATCAAAAAGAAGATAAGTCAAGACAAACTGACTCAAGCTTGTGTGCTACCTGAAAAGTGATATCATTGAGGACACCCCTTAAAAGTAAAGGGCCTGAAAAACTCAGGTTAGCTTGGGTTAGTACCTATAGTTTCTATGGGCGGTCGGGTAGCCTAGTGGTTAAAGCGTTCGGTCGTCACGCCAAAGACCCGGGTTCGATTCCCGACATGGGTACAATGTGTGAAGCCCATTTCTGGTGTCCCCCGCCGTGATATTGCTGGAATATTGCTAAAAGCGGCGTAAAACCATACTCACTCACTATAGTTTCTATAGATTTGTGTTGATTGTCATTTGTTCTGTCTTTGCTTAATCTGTTCCCTCTCTTTTCCCACAGTTGTAAAAGTTACAAAATTAAATATTTTATCATTGTTGGCTGTTGGCACTAATTGGTGAGACTAAACAAAATTGGTTCTGCAAAGATGTTTTTTAAATTGATGGGCATGCTGTGTTTTCATGTTCCGTTACTACAAAGGCAGGCCATGCGGGGGTGTAACTAATGAAGCAGCCTGTGAACTAAAGAACTCACGGAAATGAAAAAAAACTGTTTTTTCGACCTCAGATCTTAAATAAATGCAGTTAATATACAAAATATGTAAATATTCAAACAACTCAATTAGTACTAATTGGGCCTTGGCACAAATGCAGCATATCAAAGGTTTTTATGACTTTTTACAAGTAAAAGTGTGTAAAAATGTGAATAAAACAGACTATTGTGAAACAGGGCATAACCAGGTGTAAGTAGATCAAGGTGAATGTCCATGACCTATGACACCTTGACGATAGGTGAGAACAGGTGCATAATGCCTATAGTCTGTTTCTGCTATGTCAATTTGGACTTTTTTTAATGTTGAAAGTGACGACAAATTACCTCCTGTAAAGTACATTTTGTATTGTTCACTGAGATCAAACTAGCAAATCCAGACTAGTACTTTTCGAGTTGTTTTGTTATTTCGTATATACAGCGACGTAACACTTTGTGTCGATTTTTAAATTGAGAAAAACAGTTTTTTTTCATTTCCGTGAGTACTTTAATACCTTGTTTTAGCCTTGATACACCTTGTATTATTTGTACAGCAATTGTTTCCGAATGAGGTGCTGCTTGACAAGTGGTTGGTTGCTTTGTAATTGTTTTTGTTTCATTTTTACATTTCTGTATTTTCATATGCATTGTAAATAAGCACATAATATATTAGTTGTATATCTTGATATCAAGGGTGTCGTTTTGTTACGGATACTGAGACCAGTTGTGTTGTAATGTTGTTCAAATGCATTGACGTTTGATTCTCTTTATTCATGAATTGCCATGTGTTGATTCAGACTTACTTAATGATTTGAGGAAATTGTACAAACGTGCTAAAGAGGGGCTTGTTTGCCTTAAAAAATATTCTGCTTATTGGTTTGTACTGACAGTTTATGTGTTGCCATGACTACTCAGATATTGGTTTGTTTTCAAACATTCAAGGAAGATTGGCATGATCCCTACATTAAGAACATGACAAACAGAAAGCTAATCATTTTGCGACAGCCGAGTCCTGTTCAGCAAAACAACTGTGACAACTGTGAGTGTCGGCAGTATTCAAGCTATTCATAACTTCCCCGAAAATAGTTGGGTTTGGTCAAAACAAACCAGTGGCAGATCTCATACATGCCGTTGGGCATAATGACACATCGGTCAGAGGTCATTGTGACCATCGCCTAATCCCCAGTTATTCATAAATACTCCTTTAACCTACATTGTGTCATTTCAACAGATCCTAGTTCCACAAAGTTATGTTGGCACTAAGACAAGAGAATCATGCATACTTAACTAATAACAGGTGTTGTGTTAAGACTGTTCTTATCATGGAGCCCCGGGCCTTTTTCCACAAAGCGATATGAGTGCTACGTTGATCGTAATCCTATGATAAAGTGTGGGAGTTACGACCAACTTAGCACTACGATCGCTTTGTGGAACAGGTTCCAGGGCCTTATTCCACAAAGCGATATGAGTGCTACGTTGATCGTAATCCTATGATAAAGTGTGGGAGTTACGACCAACTTGGCACTACGATCGCTTTGTGGAACAGGTTCCAGGGCCTTATTCCACAAAGCGATATGAGTGCTATGTTGATCGTAATCCTATGATAAAGTGTGGGAGTTACGACCAACTTGGCACTACGATCGCTTTGTGGAACAGGTTCCAGGGCCTTATTCCACAAAGCGATATGAGTGCTATGTTGATCGTAATCCTATGATAAAGTGTGGGAGTTACGACCAACTTAGCACTACGATCGCTTTGTGGAACAGGTTCCAGGGCCTTATTCCACAAAGTGATATGAGTGCTACGACAACCTTAAGCCTGTTAAAGTATGGGAGTTAAGATCATATGAGCACTAAGATCACTTTGTGGGCCCAGCGCTGTTGACATTAAAATTTTGTGTTAAAGTGACCTGTATCCAACTAACTGACACTGCGACTTGGCAGGAGTCAAGCACTCGTTAAGACTTCTAATTGTGAATGTGCTGCAGACATCAAGTGCATTCTAAATTATTGTATGTTATTCTTTTGAGGAGGAATCTATTATGAAGTCGTTTGAGTTTTAGAATTAACCAGTAGGTGCCTTATCTTAGTACAAGCCAGTGACTCGGTCATCTAGACTACTGTGATAATCTTCCCAGTAATAATTCGTAAATAATACTTTGTCATCAGTTTCATTATTTCCTATTTTGGTGATTATTGTTTTTTCACAGTTCCTGATTTGTTTCTTGAGTTTATTTCACCTCTTTGGATTTGAAGTGTCATGTCAATTGATAATTTTGTAAACTTTCTTTTACTTAAGCATGTAAAGATTTTAGAGAAGGCATTTTGAACCTTATTGTTGTTGAAACATTGCTGTAATTAAATGTATATATTGTAGATAAATTCCCTGTGTTCTGTCAGGGTTGTGATGCAGTGTGCATGTATTCTTACTGAAGCCAGACGAATCTGCTCTCCTGTTTCACAGGCAAGCCTTCCTCATCTGGCCCAAAATTGAAATAAATAGTGACATTTTGTTTGATTGAATTTTGATTACAAATTTCTTATTTTGGTTCTTAAATGTATTTCTTGTCAGGAGGAGAAGAAGAAAGTAAACTTTGATCTGACATAGTGTAACAGCATCCCTTGAAAGAAACATCTTCTGGATTGAACACCTTATAATTGGGACTATCTTTCTGTATATTGAAAATAATCATGTGAAGTTATAAAATAACTTATGTGTGTGGTTTATTCAAACATGTCAAACTACAAATTGGATTAACTTTTTGCCAAGATTTATTGTTGAAGTTTGGGCTTGGAAAATCCTTGATAAATCCATGATGCAAGCCTGTATGTGGTACCATGGAGATGTTTGTTTCTTCTTTCCACAGCTTTGTGACCCACTGATTTAGCACTTAACGTGTTGAGCAGAGTTCAGTCCCTTGGACAGACCAGAATCTGCTGGTCGTGGGGTTCAATCAGATTTGCCCTAATTCTTCAGTTGTTACACAAAGCCGAGTGGCAACAAGACACATGACACTTTACCTTTCCTCCATCTTGTAGCTGACATGCAATCATATAACTGGAATATGTCCAAGCGGCACTAAACACAACTCATTTCGTGCCAAAGGGATTTTGACTGCATTACGACTTGTTTGCAACCATCAGTATGTGTTCTTTATTTTGATTGGCTGCTTTGGTCACAAGAAAAATGAAAGCTGTCATTTCATTGGCTGTATGACCTCTTAAAAGCTCTTCTCATTACATAAATCTCATTTACCATTTCAAATGTAACATTCCAAGTATGTTCCAATGCTTTTATTAATGTAAAACTGAACTTTCTGGTACCGTATTCACTGTAATACGTGCCTGAGGCTCTTAGAAAATTGTGATTGGTGCGCTTGTTCAAACCAGAAAAAAACTTTCAATTTATTTGCAGAGATTGAGCGATAGTGGACAAGCAGTTCAAACGTCGATGGAATTAAAATATTTTCGAGGATATTCACTTAGCAGTTAAAATATATACTCCATCTTTACAACTGTCTCATGTAAAAGAAATCTGTAATATTGATGCTTAAATGTTTGGTCCGAGTAGGGGTGAAGATAACTTGGTCTTGAAGTTGGTCGGGGGGCTTAATAAGGCAAATATGGTAGGTGTGAATTTAACAGACAGAAATCCATTACTTTGGAATGCAAGAAATGTATCTTACATAACATCATAATGTAATATATACTTCATATACTTCATGTTATTGAGAGTTGTCAAGGAGATCATACCTTTGGTGTAGGCTGCAAAATATGGCATCAAGTTTCTTTGCATCCATGGTGAACCTTGTTTGGTTCATTCAGTTTTTGACACCCTAAACACACAGTTACTTATAAAAGTATTCATTACCGGTAGTTAAATACTGAAGAACTTGTCCCAGTTCCACTGATGCAAACTCAACACTCAACAAGTGAAGTTTTTTAATTCATACAGCTGTACAGAGCTGCTAACACACAGATTGAGGAAATTATGTCGGATAATTGGGATCCAAAATTAATAATTTTAATAAAATATTATGCAAGTTATTATGATTCAGATATTGTCTTGATTTTTTTATGCACGTTCGTCACCTAATTTAGATTCTGGTATATATATATTCAATAAATATTGAGCTACTCAGGGCTTCTTTACATATTTTATTTGCAGAAATTCAATGTAGTAGCTTTGTTTGATAAAAATGAATGAAACTGATGGATTTGCAGTGTCAATAACTGACAAAGCTTTTTGACAACTTTTTAAAATAGATTTCAAACGTTTCATGGAATTTGGTAATGATATGGCAATGATTCCGCTATCTTTGGTTGTAGCGCTGAGAATATTTCGTGAAGTTGGACCCCTGGTTTCTGCACACAAATGCACTATGTATTCCCTCTCTGAAACCCCATTGATATGGACTTTATTAGTAAAAAAATAATATTTTTTGACACGAAGTATTATGGATAGAAACATGATTATTGTGTATTTACGTCCATGTTTCTGCTGAGTGGACAGATTTACAAATCTTTACTGCTAGTTGTACCTGTATGTTTGTATATGAAGCTTGTGGCATATCTGAACTGTGTATAAAGGTTTATTCATGTCGTAAGGCCGCCTTGCTTGAATCTGTAGTTTAGGACAATGTTATGGTTTTACCATTGTATTCAAATAACTTGTATTTGATGACATGTCTTTATTAATATCAGAATACATTTGAGGGTTATTTGAATAGCTACAACTCTTTGTGGATGTCCTTCATTCTTTTATTCCTTTTGAAGAATAATAAACATCAAGAAATACACAAATTTCTGCGAAAAGCTCAACACAATGCATGTTTTCATGACTCCTCCAGTCGTGGGGGCGGTCGTAGTTAAGCGTTCGCTCGTCATGCTGAAGACCCGTGTTCGATTCCCGACATGGGTACAATGTGTGAAGCCCATTTGAAAAAAAATAATTTTTTGGTACCAGGTCAACATAAAACCTTTTGGTTTGTTTTCATATTTTACTTTTATGTTGTCAGTATTGTATTGTATTGATAAGTTTCTCCAATAATACCAAAAATCAGATGAATATAGAGATGAATAGTTACAGTTGGTAACTTTGAGAATAACTTATGTATGTGAGGTTTACATGTTTGACCTCATGGAATCCTTTTTGTTAGTTTTAAGTGCTCAGCCTTGGCAATGGGTAAAATCTTATAAATTAGAACCATAACATCAATGAAGATGACATGAAAAATGTGTATTTCTTGCATGTTGTACGAGGTTCTTGTTACTTGATGTGTGTCTTCGGGAACTGAAACTCCCATCAACTAATGTCTTTATATTCGGTTGTATCAAATTTTCATGCCACCATCCTAACATTAACAAGTCATTAATGGAGGTTTAGGGGTTTCGTTAACCCATTATTAAGCCAAACAAGCCTGATAACATCTTCCAAGTACGTTGTTGAAATGCAGGGTCCATGTTTTCATCGAGACTGCCATAACATGTAAACTTCATTAATGATAGCTTAATGACCGCTTTGTACATTCAGAATATGAAAACATCTGTGAATGAAGATTTGATACAACCGGTTCCAGAAGCCTGATCAAGGAGTATAAGATAAGAGTATACCACAGATGTTGAGTTATCTAAATCAAAGACTGTCCAGGATGGCAAAGAACTTTCAGCTCAACAGTGGTATAACATTCAGAACAAAGATCCAAGCAAGTTTGCAGATCCACGGAAGAATGAGAATGTCTTGACTGTGCTTGTGTTCTTCACCAACAGTTTGTATGCTCACTGCTGGTCTTGACTGCAAGGTTATGACTGGCCTTCCTGTACTGTATAGTATCTCATTGTCCTGGAGGAAACCAGGTGTGGAATAAATCATTTTCAGTATGCATGAGCTTGTTCTTTGTTATCCCCCGCCGCGCGAAAGCGCGAAGCGGGGGATATAGTATTCACGACCGTCCGTACGTACGTCCGTACGTCCGTCCGTACGTCCCACCTGTTTGTTGCCGCGATATCTCAAGAACTAAACACTGGATTGTCTTCATATTTGGAACTATGGTGTATATACAGACTCCGCAGACACCAGTCGGTTTTGGTGACCTTGATCCCATTTTCAAGGTCACAGCAGGCAAATCTGCTTTTGGAGTTGGAAAACGGTGTTGCCACAATATCTCAAGAACTAATCGCTGGATTGTCTTCATATTTGGTACTATGGTGTACAGGCGGGGGATATTTCGTCACCCTGTGACAAATACTTGTTTGGTTTGGTTTGTTGCTTAACGCCGCACTCAGCAATATTCCAGCTATATGACGGCGGTCTGTAAATAATCGAGTCTGGACCAGACAATCCAGTGATATATATCATGAGCATCGATCCTCGCAATTGGGATCGATGACATGCATCAACCAAGTCAGCAAGCCTGACCACCCGATCCCGTTAGTCGCTTTTACGGCAAGCATGGGTTGCTGAAGACCTATTCTACCCCGGAATCTTCACGGGTCTCTTTGTTCTGGGACAAAGGTTGCCCAGTTGCTGCAATTTACAATGCAGAGTTGTATCCCTTTAAGTTTGCCTTGAATGAATTTGCAAAACTCACAGTATGAAGCAAAGTTGTGCTTAGTGCCGAAATTTTCCCCCAAAGGCACTAAGTTTGGAATCGGTCATAAATCTCTGTGTATGTCAGGTTCCTCTGTTCTCATGAATTTGGGGTGCAGTCGAATGTGTGAAGCCCATTTCTGGTGTCCCTCGCTGTGATATTGCTTGAATATTGCTAAAAGCAGTGTAAAACCACTCACCCACTCTTATGGGTTTGGCCCAAGTGGCAAACTGCCTTGGTGGTTCGATCCCCTGATCGCATCACACCTGGAATATTCCTACATGAGATTCAAAACACATTCTAGACAAACAGGATTTCTCTTATAATTTTTATTTCAAGTTATACAAACAACATTTGGCAGAGACTAAATAAACCAAGGGTAACGCTGCTCTAACACGCTCTCTTGACACAATGTACACACACACACACACGCACTTTCTGGTGTCCTGACCTTAAGAACCTCTATAGACTTCTAATGTCATCAAACACACACCCAGTAGCCTGGCTCAATCGCTGCCTTTGTTATTGGATTTTGGACATCACTGAAAAACCTATTGCTTTAAATATCCAAATGTTTGTCATATTGTACTCATTGTTATTTATCTTCATAATGCAAAATCATTTGCATCAGATCTTTCACTCCGGTATCATGCCAATCTGCATCCAAATCCTTTGGTCACGTCAGGTGAACTGTCTGATCAACCAATCATGTTCAGACGTATAAATTTTCAGTACGAAAAAGCATTCAGATAGGTATAATTGACTACTGTATTGAGAAAAAAAATAGTTCAGACAATAACCCCAGCCCACCCCTCGTGTGTGTGTGTGAGAGAGAAATGTTTGTGGGTTTCAATTTGTACAAATTAAGACGTTTTACATCAAGGTGGTACAGAAATGAAGCCAAATGGTTTAAGGAAGCTGACATTTGATTTGCTCAAGAACAAACACATCCTTCCTTTTAATCGTGTGGTTCTTCCGATCTTCACACAGAGAGGCATTGTATCCGATTCCAATGAGAGTGATACCAAATTTGAGACTGTAGTCTTTTACTTGTGAAAGGGCAGGATTCTTGGGATGGTTAACCCAGTGTACCATAACATGAACCTATGTCTATCATCACATTCAATATTTTCTCGATGTCGAGGCTGGTTCACCTAAAAGGTGCATTCATTCCAATAACCCTTCCAAAATATGCTTCATTGACTAAGGTCCCACAATGCATCAATGAACAAAACATCAAACAATTGTCATGTTATACAAGGTGGTATAAATATTATATAGCATAGAGCAATCACATATTACGAACAGTTCACATTGTAGAAAACTCTTAAGTAAAATCAACTTGTATTCATGGCATAAATACAAAGCAAAGAGCCCTTGCACAAGAAGTGTTCACACAAGCTCAGAAAGCTTGATTTTAGACAGATCTTAACATGCTTCAGGTGGTCTTGAACACACCAGGAATGATACTTTACAGTATACAGGTTGTACAATGGTGGAAAATACTGAATGGCATAGACAAGCACTTGCACAAATGACAGTTGAACATAAGGTTCACACAGCGTCCTCAGACTGATGTTTATGTGATCTTGAACATAATCAACAATAATTTAAAGCAATTCTGTGTCCATCACTCGTTTTGTTAGTTACTCTGTCCATGTGCTCAGCACCTGTCATACATTGAGACCAGTCATCATGGTCATACAGTCACACTGCTAGAGCATGCCTCTTGTAATGACACCACTCGGCGCCGATAGCGTAGCGGCGCCAAGACCCATTTCACTTGATCTCTGTTTGCAGAATTCGCACAAGCTCTGTGGAGAAATAAATATATTGAAATATGTCCGTGATGATATAAAAAGCAGAATATGGTGTCTTGACACAGTAACAACTTTGGAAATTAGATGCCAAAAGGCAGTTTAAATATTTTTCATACCTTACACTAAGCAGCTAAATATTTATCATCAACATTTATCACCACAACAAAGGGCAAGAAAAGACATTGACAGGCAGGTTTTTCTGAATATTTAGTATATTTTTGAAGAATTTGGTGTTCTCAGAATCCCCGCGGCATTGGGCACATTAGAATTTTGTTCGTATTGTAGTGACGATAAACTATTTTAAAAAAAGCGTTTGATAAAGCCTGAAGAAGAGATGGACACTTGGGCCACATTCATGTCATCAGAAAAAATGATTATATGTGAAATAAATACACACAAAAGGGTCCTTCTCTGAAAAATATAAGTATCTCTTTGATAAGCTAACTTCAGTAGTTTCTGAGAAAACTTGTCCCCATTTCATGCAGTATGCATTGAATTTAAAAGCACGGAACAAGGGCCATAACTCTGTAAAAAATGAAAATATGACACCAATAATGGAGATGAACTGAGGATCACCCTCGGTCGTGAGACAATTACAGAGAGAGAATAACCGTCACATCACTACAGTATAACTATCATAACTGAATAAACAGCAGAGGTGTTCCGTGTGGACGAGGTATCTTTTTGATTTGCAGAAGGACACAATATGAACAGAGAAATGTACCAACAATAGTTGATAATAATGAACATTTCAAGTATTTAGATTGAGCTGTATCCATGCCGTAAAGCATGCTCACTGTGCTAAACAATTATTACCCCTTATAGCAGATCTGTGTTCATTCAAAGTGAATTTTCAGCAACAACACAAGTTATCTGTTAGCAAAGGAGGTTGGCATTCACAGTACCGCCAAATCCTACCAGGTACCCATTAACTGCTGGAGGGCACCATTTTAACAAAGCAACCAGCCTAAGGAGACACTAATTTCAACGTGTGTTTCCTGTTTGAGTTCAGAGAAACTCCTTCACTGACCCCAAGCAACCAGTGTTCTCCACCATGCACAGGACCCCATGCCTTCCCCCCAGTTGGGGAGGAAAGTATACCATCTTCTAGTATCACCATGATTATCTTACTGAAATGCATTTATCTGTGACTATTATTGACATATTTACCTGAAACGTCCTCGGCTCATAAATGGCAATATCAGCCAACACCTTCCTGTTGAGGGCAATGTTGGACTGAAATGCAGGGAAACAGTATACAGGAAACGAAATCTTGTTACAAGGGATTGCATATATATTTCGAATATAATTTGTATTTAAGTCCACAAGTCATGTACATGATGCAGACCAGGCCAAATTATTTTCTTCTGTTTCAACGTTCATGGTCAATATGGCAACCGGCAGGAAGGAATGCACTACAAATGTTGTCAGATTTGATTTGGAGTTAATTAATTAAAAAAACAACCATGAAATAAATATTTGAACAATAAATACAAACATACAGATATTAAAAAACTTACTGTTTGACTACTATTAATCAAATACAGCATTTTACAATGTTTTGTAAACAAGATACATGGATAGACTTGTCAGTAAAATTAAAATAAACGAAATGTGGTATCCTATCAAACAAGGTACTGTGTGGCCTAGACTGAGATAAAGTCTCCGAAACAAAGTTATGTGTAAGGTAAAATATAAATAATTCCATAAACATGATAAAGGAACCATTAGGAACACTCAACTCTCTTAATTTCAGAGAGCTGAGAATGGGATGATTTGGCTGCTTGAGCTGAGAAGGGGATGAGAGTGACATGAGGGTGATTGTATATTACATACATGTATATGCTCTTAGGACTGTAAAGTTCTGTACTGAGGAAATGATGAAGGCTTACATTAGAACATGATCATTATGATACAGTGTGATTACACTTGTCTTATCCCTACACAAATTAACATGTCACCACCTTCCTTACCTCTGCCAGAGACGTCATGAACTTGGACAGACCGATGCCATGTTCCCCACATGCTGCTGAGATCCTCGTCTCCCACAGCTAGAATTACAGTTAAATACAAAATACATTTGATACTGCAAATTCACAGTGCACCAAGATGAGGTAATTTGTGGCATGGCATACAGATATTTGAAAGTTGTTAAAATTCCCAGATCATACATGTAACCTGTAACAGACATTGGATTGCCTTGTTTAGGCTGTTACAGTTGGTTTAAACACCATTATCTATAGACAGTATTTCAGCAAGTAAACTAAACGTGGGATGAACGTGATGAAAGCCCAAATGACACACAGATCATAGATATTTTAGCATGTTAAGTTGGAACTTTCTTGCATCACATGATTCAGATTTTAATTTCAACTGACAGAAATTATCAGAATACCAGTATTTCTAACATACCTGTTTCATGCTCTTCTTTTTCTGAGAGCGTGCTCTGTTGGAGTGTTGGAGAGCCCGTCTCACTGAGCGAATAGAGATACCATAACAGTTCCGTTTCCGGCCCAGGAAATTCTGTAAACATATAATATATACTGGAATGTCTAATTAAGAATTAGTTTCATATATTAATATAACCTGTTCATGGAGAGTACTGCATTTCACTGGGTGCTTTTTTGCTACTGCCAATTAGCATGAATAGCACTGTGTGAATAGAGGATCAGACTCTCACTCCCAGCAAGGCAGAACTTGTGAATTAGTCAACACCTTACAACTGCTATAACAAATAACTATGGTGCTCATTTATATTGTGGTCACACTTGAGTTTTAACATTTGTGTGCATGCGCAGAAGCCACATATTTCTGTGAACTTTTAACTCCAAAATGACAAGAACTTGCAGAATACATTGGACTTATTCATTAAAATAATTGCAATAACGGGTCCTAACTCACAAACAACCCACAGGACAAAGAATACCAAACCCTAAGGATTGTAAAGGAGTGTTTGATCAACAACAGGTGTGCAACCCTAAAAATTGAAAAGGGGTGCTTGCTAATGCTTGGAAAGGGGATACAAGGGCTAAGTAAGGATAGAGTTGATAGAAACCTACCTACCCTATCCACAATCATAACACAGCATACTACAATCTGTTGGGCTCCAAATGAGATCAATGAATTCCCAAATTACTCAAAATTTGAATAGTCTATTAAATGTCAATATGGTACACAGTAATGAATACCCTGTACTCAACAATATCTGTAGTGTGTTATTTTATTCCCATCACTGGAATAAGTTGTTTCTGTATACGTTTTTGTTTGGAGCCAAACGGACTGAAGACGATCTCTACCAACGGAGCTTTGACCCAACGAATATGGCTAACCTGAAACTAAAATTCTCATCAAATTTGTTCCAGTTTTGGAGCCTTTATACTTTATTTGGCTGACCCATACCCAAATTTGGAGAACCTGTACCCAAATGTGGAGGACCAATACTCAAATTTGGAGAACCGGAACCCCAAATGTTAATGTTTGGGGAAATATTGGAAATTGGGTCCTTAGAAATAACTAAAAGTTTGAGCTTTGCCATTGTATTTGACAGATGTCCTTGGGCTTTGGACATTTTGGACTAAAGATCGACATAAGTAAAGTCAGTGAAGATAACTTCCGTTGATGTTTCATACATCCCTGCTACACATGATACAAAACGCATATAACAGAAAGCATTCAAATCCATTTTAATGTCATGCAAAAATCATTTTGATTTTCTTCAGGATTTTCTTCATGCTATTTGTATGACGCAAGATATTGATCTTGAACTTGCAGAGAACTCAAGCAACTAATACGCCGTCAAACGAAATATTACCCATGACATCCTTCTAAGCATAGCCCTCTTAAAGTAGCGTTGGGGGCCCCTAGACCTCGCCATACAGCAGACAGTCAAATACATGATGTCACTATGATGTCAACAACAGGTATTCCAGGATATCCTTCTTATATTTCACAAGCGGACCCGGTAGATCCGTTAACATGTGTTTTCCGACTTATCTTCCCTTGGCAGGTGCCCGTTTCCGGAATTCATTGCAGCATATTCAATACAACTGTTTACAATTACAAAACTTAATTGCGACTTCAATCGAAAAATAGTCGAACTTTGAGTTTTCATTTATCTGTCGGTGAAAAGGTTTTTGAATAATTAACATGAGTAACATATTAAATCCTATGTTTGGTCTTTCAAATGTATTAAATGACAGCTGACTGACAAAAAATACAATCATAGTTATAAACTGAAAACAGAACTTTTCCATTGCTGTTCCATCATTCATGGTTATTGTTGTTGTTTTTTCGAGTAAGAACGCACTCGCAGTGGGAACCTTAAAAGTAATGCTTTGCCAGTTGACCAATAAACTAATGTAAATTTCAAAACCGGTTTCGAACAAAAATACATGGTTTCTTTGCAAGGGTCACCAATCACGATCTCTCAACACCCAGATCAGTTGATCCTTTTGTACCATGCGATTCTCAGTCTAAAGCTGAAATAAAATTGTAGTTAAGTATTCATTTATTCAACAAGGCATTCCCTTGTCCCGTCATTCATTTTAGTAACATTGACATTCCCTTGTCCCGTCATTCATTTTAGTAACATTGACATTGATTGCGCACTCGTTTTGAATTGTTTGATTTTACAATGAGTAGTCGTCGTGCAAGTTGTATATTGTAATTTCACGACCCAGCCAACCTTCACCTTGAATGTCACGTCGGTCAGTCAAAGCCGTAAGCTTTCCGGATCACACCATTCTCAGGACGTGTGGCGTGGACGACAGTTGACAGATATTTTATCACTTAACCAAAATCAACCGACACGATGGCTGAAGCAAAGTAAGTATACATATCATATTCACAAGACGTGGTACCGTTTCAGCTGCCTGTTAGTGCCTCCTAAGAGGAAATTTAGTTCAACTGTTCACGACTTTCAAGGCTGCAACCGGCGGCTGAATGTGCACTGTCATCCTGTTGTATGACGTTTTGCATGGATTGTTTGCCAAACAAATTCACCACAACTTCCAAAAATGTTTATCCGTTATAAGATATCATTTTGCAAACCGACAACTGTGCAACACGTTATGACATAATGTTTTTAGTTAGTTAACAATAACCATGATAACAGCTAGATCTAGCTCAATAAACAGCTGATGATGAGACCCGACGATCAACAGGTCGATTTCTTCACGTTAAATCAAGAGGTGACCTTCAAAATGAGAATTTTGATTTTAATTGGCAAATTTGACATCAACAACAGAATTTAACACCTGATTCTTTGATAAAAAGTGTCCATGAAGATTCTAGTTAGGCCCAGCTCACAGGCCCAAGAAGTAGGATAGTGATATTACTGAAAAGCCAGACCCATATATATAAATAGACTAAGCTGAAGTTGAAATGGGTCCGTTGTGTCAGTTATATCACTATCCTGCTTCAAGATCTTAATAGACTTTTTTCTTTTTAATTGAGAACGTGCACACCCACGATCAAATAACATTTGTTCACTTGAGAATTTACTTCTTTTTATGTTTTTTGAGGTATAAAGCTAAAACAGGGATGGTCATTTATAAAAGAAAAAGTCTGATTGACTAAAAAGTTATACCACATAGCAATGGGCACTATTCTCCCTTTGGATACCTTTAACATTAACAAAACTTGTCAGGGCTAGTGCTTATTTCCATCCATGAAAAATATTGTGCGCATACTATGTGTAAAGTATTACAAAACTAATGAATGTTCCAAGACTGCTCCTCAGTGATTGGTCAACAGATCATGTGACGCCCATGTGATATGGCATGATACTCAATATGTCACATTTCCCTTACCTGAGTTCTTTTCCCCTGATATGGGAAACATGATATTTCTCTCGACACATGAAATACAGTTAACTACGGTTATAACAAACACGCTTATAACGAACTGACGGATATAACGAACTGACTTTTTTGTCCCGACTATTTGCTGTAGTTATGATGTATATATGCATATAACGAACCACGGCTACAACGAACTAAAATTAGTGGTCCCTTTGAGTTCGTTATAACCGTAGTTTACTGTATCCCATTTATTATATACTTTTTGTGTAGTTGTCTCCCGGAAAATTAGATTATTTCATTACAAATGTAAAACTTTGAAATGTAAATTCTCCCTACCTAATACACAGTGAGGGTTCGCCACCCCTTGTAATTGCAACTTAAAAAGTAGTTTCATGTTTGCAAAATCTTTAAAAAATAAATAAATAAAAGTAACAAAAAATATTTGAGGTCACAGAAATTCTTTATCAAACATTTGGATATGATAATATACAAAATCAACTTCAACAAAAAATATTCTTGAAGCGGAAGAAGACAAGTTTGTTCAAGTAACAAAATGGCAATTTGCCATTTGCAAAACGAACAGTCTCGACAAAACATTTTCAATTAGAATAACAAACGTCAAGAAGCGATATTAACTCCATAAATGACCGTCTGTCATTACTCTGCCTTGTCAATGTGGAACAAACATTAATAGGAAGTCAACAGTTTGTGTATGGACTAGAATTTGCAGAAGGTAACTCTTGTATGAAAATAGTGTTATATTTACTGCAGTGAAATATCAAGTGTTATGTTTACTGCAATGAAAATATCACTTTTCCCAACTTCAGAAAACTCAGTCTTTCACACTGAAGTATATAATAAATAGAGGTTATCACGCGAGTGTGTTTGGGGATGGTAAATATCCTGCATTAGGAATAAACATTGTATTTAGCGAGCCTTGGCGAGCTAAATACATAGTGTTTATTCCTAATACAGGATATTTACCATCTCCAAACACACAAGCGTGATAACCTCTTTATCATATAATGTCATGCTTTAATTCTGTGCTTTAAAATCGCTATCCCTCTCTTACAAACATTACCGAAACATTGCGAGTTTTCCAGGAATGCGCGCATTAATATTTATTACGTCACAGGGTAGGTGATGTGTCAGTCGGACAGTGACAGTAGCCAATATAGTTCCAACTGAAATCTCTTTCTTATACAGTGGCGAAGCAACATATACACAAAACAACAGTTGTTTTTAATTGCCTTTCGCGGCAATTCATCGGTCTGTCCGCTAGAGTAACTGCCCTTTGTCAAAGGGAAGCTACTCTAACCCTAGTCTATGAGACGTCACGGGCACGGTCAGACGTTGTTGACAGTCGGTCTGTCCTGTCATAAGGTTAAGAAGTGTAGTCAGATGTACACACAGCGACAAAACCAAACAAGGTAACAATTCAAACATATTTCGGCCAAATCCAACTATTTTAATTTGTGGAGAAGGTTTCAAATCGCAGAGGTCTACAAGCACAGATATTGCTACTGATCCCGCTTGGCTAGGCCTCGCGCCCTCGCAAAATTGTTTCGAAATTTATGCCTCCAAAGTAGCCAAAACTTATAAATTGCCTTAGCTACGTCACAGTTAGACACTGATTTTCAGTATATTAGACTGTTCTTTTGATAATGGTAGCAATTATCCCTGTTGTTTATCCAGATTCCCGATGGTTAATTTTGACTCGATCGCCGAATGACGAGGACGACGCCATGTTTGTTTATAAACAGTGAAAAGTAGTCCTACTTGACCTTTGATATTTGCATCTCTATCCGCATATGACCCCAACGGATATCGTTTTTATCCGTTGGCTTTATCCTGCCGAGAAACCTGCCCATTATATGATAAATAGTTATATACTGTTCCTAGACAGTATCGATGAGTGGCATGTTGGTGTTGTTAATAAAAGTTCTGGTTGGTGTACTTGTCACTTCCAGGTCCCACTGCTCAAAGAGTTCAGTTTTTGTCAAAGTGAAACACTTCACTGGCCAAAGTGATCTCAGGTGGCATCAGCTTTGTGGCAGTATCCTCTGGACTAGGTATCTTAAAATGCCCCTGTTTTATGGCCTGGCTTAGGTCTTTTGAGTTAGACCCTTGAGAATAAATTAAGAAATGAACCCAACTCAAGTCTTGAATGATTGTCTCAGCTCTATGAAATTAGCATTGTTCTGGGCTCCATTTAGATTTTATGTTATGTTTTGCAGATGTATTTTTTTAAATAATTTAACTTATTTCGGGCACTAAATGTTAGTCTTTTGGGGTGAGGTGTTGTCAAGGGGATGAGTCAGCCTTCTCTTCAATGACTAGGCTGTTTTCCTAGTCAGGGGCTTGTTCAACCTTGGCAGTTCTGATGCGTTCTTTATGACACCTTGTGGAGGGTGAATGACAGATTTTACATTTGGGTCCAAGTTGATGTGGGATGTCCTTAAAAACGTCCTGGCCTTGTGAAAATATCCTCATGCACTTCCATTTGTCCTTGCTTTGTGATTTGATCTGGGTTAACATTTCTCTTAATAAGTCACAAGTCAGCCATCTTCCCAAGGCAAGGGAGTTCACTGACTATAAAAGTCCAGTTTCCACCCTTGCTGAAATAAGGCTGGAACTCTGGAGTTTTTGCCTTGACTAATGAGAATATGCATACTCCAATTACATGCTAGACGTCCAGGTCGTAGCAACATGGATTTCAACGTGCAGATTTAGGTCGACAACAGGATATGCAAAGCATGTGTACCCCCAACTGGGTGTCTACGGATATTTTGCAAATCTTTTAGTGTTTTTAATCAAGGTGCTCAAGTGATTTGATGCACTTTGCGGGATAAGACCTGTTTTATTACAATATAGATCTTGATTATCTATGAGATCGTTTTGACTGGGCGCGCCATTTTGTTTGAAGCAGATGCAAGTGATATGAGAGTTGGAATCTGATTGGTGAATGGGAGGGACATTCTGTAGTGCGTGAAGAGGTTCCTTCCTTTGATTATGTTGCTTCAGTGTGATTTGAGCAGCATCAGGAAAGTGGGTCAGGTATCTTGAACCGATCTGAAAAATAATTCGCTTATCTGACCCCATTAACATATGACAATACTCATGGATATTCTGAGACTGCATGCTTTATACATGCTCCTCAGTGATTGGTTAACTGATTATGTGACACACACATGATATAGCATGATACACTATATGTCACACCGTGAATCTCTGTGTAGCCTTGTGGATTTCCACAAAGTGTGCACACCATTTTTAGTTCTCCATGCCTGAGGGGCCGGAATCATTTTAAAAACAACCGCAACATCTGCAGCCCACAAAAATCCCAATGCCATCGGATCAAGGACTAACATGACTAAGGGCAGATAACTCAAAGTTTATTTTGAAAAAAGCGGCAATTATCTTTGAAACTAATTGTCCAATGAATTCCAAATTTGGCATGTGGCAGCGGAATCAGATGCCCATCAATTTCACAAGGACGACTAGGGAGGGGAGTTTGTCATCCTCAGAAAAGACAATTATGCTTCCTCCTCCCACTGGTCAGCCTGTGAGACACAGCATTTAGCCTAACGCCCATTACGTCGTCTCCACACTCTGATGTGGCCATCGGTGTAAGAAAGGTTGAACCTTGATTCGCCCGAGAAGACAACTTGTTGCCACTGTTGATGTCGGCAATATAGGTGCTGTTGAGCCCACTGTGCACGATGTTGGCGGTGACGTTGAGTCAGTATGGACCCGGCGACATCTGATTCCCGCTGCTCTGAGATGACGACAAACTGAGTCGGCTGACACGGAATTTTGTGAACCTTATGTATCGTGCTGTCTTGGACCCCGATGGATACAGTATTTTGAGGAACCACTGTATTTTGAAATTCAAATGATGCTGAACTCTTGTTCAGAAGAGTCATTTAATTGGTTGTTGATTTCAAGCTCACGAGCGAGAGTTTTTCTTTGCTATGTTGGTGATAAGAAGATTGTGAAGACACTTCTGAAGGGAAGTTTTTC